GTATATGACAGAGAGAGGACAGGCAGAAGACAGAGGGCGAGAGCAAGCATAGTGGAGAAAGAGAAATGAATATGTAACTTGTAATTATATGTTTATTCTTGCCATCTCTATACATTCCATCTTTATTTGTGTCTGCAAGTTTCTTATTTTGCTACACAGGCGGGGGACATGTTTGTTTGATCTCCCACTGTGTCTACACCCCCCACATGGCATATAGTAGATGCTTGGTAAATGCTTGTTGATTGAATAAACGAATGAATAGAAAGGGAAAGATGGCAACAGAGTCATCCCGAAGTTAATTCAGGTCGTGCGCTGTGGCAACCTTGGCCCCTCCCCAGTGATTCCCGTTGTTGCTGTGGGAATGGTCTGGCCCTGTGCATGGCCTGCAGCAGTGTCACTGCTGGAAGAGGGGAAGGAAGGGTTGGCAAAGAGGCTCATAGGGTCATAGGTGCTCAATTAAATGTCTTGTTTTAGTAACAAATCCTTCCCAAGGCTGCTATTGTGCCAGGCACCATCCTAGTTGCCAGAGATACAGGGATACAAGGAAGAATGAGGTTGCTGCTTTTCACAGAGCTCACAGCCTAGTAAGACAGACAGATATGAAGCAAATACATGAGCATGGAAAATACTAGATGGTTCTGGGTGCTGGGCAGAGAGTGAAAACTTGGCCACATGAAAGTGAGTGAATGAATTGGTTGTTTCAGCTTAGATGGGGCTCAGGGAGATGGCATTTTAGCCACAGGCAGAGGGAAAAGACAGAGGCAGCCCTGAAAAGACATTCAGAAAGCCCACTTCAGGCAGGGAGGAGCAGGCGCAAAGGCCTTGAGGTGGTATGGAGCTTGGCATGGGTGAGGATTAGAAAGAGCGCAGGTGGCTGGACTGCAGTGGGTGACAGGGAGAGTGACAGGGAGTGACAGGAGATGAGAGCAGAAAGGCTGGCAGGGCCACTGATGTAGGACTAAGCATATTAAGGCAGCTTTCCTGGGAGTCCTGCTTTCAAGTGGCAAATGCAAAGGCTGGGGGTGGGGCTGTTGAGCTAACAGTCTGCCAGCCCTTGGTCTGTTTAACTCTGGTGCTGCCAGGCCTGGCTCTGCCGCCTCTGACTGTGTGGCCTTGGGTGATTCACTGCCCTCTGCATCTTGTCGTCGTGGTGAGGATGAACAGCGTTACATACCCCGCTAAGTAGGTTCTCAGCAAATAATGAAGAGAGTTAACATATGAACCCTACTCTGTTCCAGGCCCTGGTCCAAGTGCTCATTCAAGCATGGCCACAACTGAGGGAGATCCTATTAACAGCCCAATTTTGGCTGGGTGCGGTGGCTCACGCCTGTAATGCTATCACTCTGAGAGGCTGAGGCAGGAGGATCGCTTGAGCTCAGGAGTTAAGACACCAGCCTGAGCAAGAGCGAGACCCTGTCTCTACTAAAAATAGAAAACTTAGCCGGGTGTTGTGGCACACACTTGGAGTTCCAGCTACTTGGGAGGCTGAGGCAGGAGGATCGCTTGAGCCCAGGAGCCGGAGGTTGCAGTGAGCTATGATGACACCACTGCACTCTAGCCCCGGGCAATAAGAGCAAGACTCCACCTCAAAAAAAAAAAAAAAAAGTCCAATTTTCTAGGTAAAGAAACTGAGTCCCAGAGCAGCTAAATAACTTGCCCAGGGGCACACCGTGTGGTAGAGGTCTCTGCCCAGCAAAGATCCGTGCTAGGTGGTGACTGCCCAGCTAGGGACCACCTTTCCCAGCTCCCCTGCCTCTAGGGGGACCATGGGACTAGTTCCCACTGATGGCACGTGGGCAGAATTGACTTGGGTCACTCCAGAGCCTGAGGGGTGAAGGAGCAGCAGTGCCTTCTCCTTCCCCCACGTACCAGCTGGGTGTTGGCATCAAGATGACCCTGGGGGCACAGAGACTGCAAAGCCACCGTTAGCCTGAGTCCCTGCAGGTCTGAGTACAGCAGAGCACACCTTCCCACACCCACACTCCGCCATGTAGACACGATGCAAATGAGAAATAAACATCTATCATATTAAACTATGAAATTGTAGCTTAGTGATGTATCTGTTACTAGTATTTCTAATACACAGCTTCTAGAGCTTTTCTTGGTCTGAAGCTTGGGGTGCAGTCTCCTCAGTAAGGGGCTCCGGCTGGGCAAGGGCACTTCTCCAGTCAGCCAACGCCAGCTGGCCAAGGGGACCTGGGCGAGACACACCACATCCACTCCAGCGCCAGAGACAGGCTTGATGCCAGGGGCCAGCTCCTAACCCCTACACCACGCACGGATGCATTCGTAGTTCTGTGAATACCAACTCCATAACAGGAACAGACATACTAACAATGATAGATGCTGTCGTAGAGCAAACGCCACAGTAAAGCGCTCTAAGGCACTCAGCTGTAGCACTGCCAGTACTGGGTTTTATTGTAGTAGTGTTTTTTTTGTTTTTGTTTTGCTATTGGGTGAAATAATTGCGAAGATTCCTTTCATCTCATAGAAGAGGACGCAGAAGCTGAGAGAGGGAGAGGGCCTTGCCCAAGGCCTCTGGGTCAAGATGTGGCCAAGCTAGAATCAGTTCTGGTCCCTTAGCCCACAGTTTCCCTGACTCATTCTCCTTCTTGACGGGCCCATGGGTTCACCATGTATAGGCAGCCCAGATCATGCCAGAATTTGTTCCAGATGTTTACCAAGAGAGGACAGAGTCAAACGCTTTAGCACGTGGATGGGCCTTTCTCCACGAGATAAACACTCCTTCATGAGGGTAAATACTTCCTCCATGGAGATAAATTCTCCAGGAAACACACTTCTCTCCCCTAGACTTCCTTAAGAATGTGAAAAGCAAATATTTCCCCTCTGGGTTTCCCCAGCTCCAACACCTACCTCAGTCTCTGCCCCAGTCATCCTGGGCTGGGACTGTCCCGCGTGTCTCTCCGTATCTAATTCCCGAGCCTGGCCCCACACAGGAGGGGTAGGGAGGGTTAAGAACCTCCCATCCCACTTGTCTTCAAAGTGGTCCAACGTCTCCCTGTTTCTTTTTGCTCCCTAATTGTTTCATTTTGAAACATTTTAAACCTACAGAAAGGCTGCAAGGATAGGGCAATGACCACCTGTATCCCCTTCACCTGGATTCACCAATTGTTAACATTTTGCTGAATTTGTTTATACACACATAGCGCACGCTTTAAAAATATTCTTAAAACTTAAAAAGAAGTTGTAGACATTGTGACTGTCACCGCTAAGTGCTTCAGCAAGAACCTCCTTAAGAATAAGGACTTTGGGCCGGGCGTGGCGGTTCACGCCTGTAATCCTAGCTCTCTGGGAGGCCGAGGCGGGCGGATTGTTTGAGCTCAGGAGTTCGAGACCAGCCTGAGCAAGAGCGAGACCCCGTCTCTACTAAAAATAGAAAGAAATTGGCCAAACAACTAAAAATAGAAAAAAAAATTAGCTGGGCATGGTGGCATGCCTGTAGTCCTAGCTACTTGGGAGGCTGAGGCAGGAGGATTGCTTGAGCCCAGGAGTTTGAGGTTGCTGTGAGCTAGGCTGATGCGGGCAACACAGTGAGACTCTGTCTCAAAAAAAAATAAAATAAATAAAATAAAAAATAAGAATAAGGACTTTGTCCTACACAGCTGCGAGACCATTAGCACGCCTGCGTAATTTACATTTTTGCAACATTGTCTCATACCTCATTTCCAATGTCCTCTGTTCTCCCAGTAACGTCCCTCAGAGCGTTTTTGCTTTCCGGTCTCTGGGACGTCCAGGGTCAAGCACCGGCTGCACTGGACTCTCTCATCTCTGGAGTCTTCTTTAATCTGGGAGTGTTTCCTGCCTTCCGTTTTCTGGAATGTCACTGAAAGCAACATTCCGCTTGCTCCATGGGGTCTTCTGCAACCTGGCTATGTCCGACTGTTTCTTCATGATTAGACTAATTTTAACAGGTTTTGGTAATATTCTATATGGGTGACACATCAGGAGGCCCTTGAACGCCTGTTTGTCAAATTTTTAGCTAATTAACAAGTAATGTGTGGGGTGAATTGTGGAGGCTGTGTGAACATCCTATTCCCCACCCCAAGATCCTTC